TAACCAATCAGAGTGGAGAGTGGCTCTATTCTGACCAATCAGGACAGTGCCTTTTGGACAAATCAAACTGCAAAAATGTGGCCTTCTAATTTGCATGAGGATAGACCAATCAGGAACCAAGGGTGGGGACTTCTGTCATATAAGCCAGCTCCCCTGTGGCTCCAGGAACACCTTTCAGCGGAAGAAGAGATCCAGGCTGCTCTCCGGGCCGGAGCAGAGTGAAGCAGGTGGTGGCTGAGCAGAGCTATCCAGCCAGAGAGGGGCCTGGCCCCAGAGTTGTTCTACAGCTTTGCTGTGTCACAATTTAGCTGTTTTGCGTTGAATAAAGTTTCCTTCTTCACTGCACCCCAAATTGGGGCTTCTTGTTGGAGCTGGATTGCACTGATGACCATTGGTTGACACAACCTTCCTCAGAGGTGGGCAAGTCTATGCTGGCAGGACCTCCTCACAGCAGGAGACGGAAGAGGTTCCCAACCTCAGGCCAAGGACAAAGTCAACCTCACCTCCATCATCAGCCCAACCCCCTTCCTTTTCATGATCACATCTGATTCTCCAGATAGCCTCATGGAGAATGGGAGTCAGAGGTGGTCCTCCCATTTTATGATGAGGCAACTGAGACTCAGGTGGGGCGGGGCGGGGGGGTGGGCGGGGGCTTGCTATTAAATTGAAAACACAACTCAGAGCTTCTGAATCCAAGCTGGGTGCACTCCCCACTGCCACACTGCCTCTCCTGGGTGCTAATGGGGCAGATCTCATGGCTCATGGCTCTGTTGTATCACTTTTCACAGACACCAAGGACTCTGCTGAGCGCTTAGCGCTTCTCTCACCCCTTATCTCAGTAAGCTTTCCCTATCACCAAGTAAATAAATGTTATTAACCGATGAAGAAAGTAATGTTCAAAGTCCAACAGACATATGTCCAAGGACACACTGCTAGGAAGTGGTCACCATTCACCACCAGTATGTCCGACTCTGAGTCCAGACTCTTCCCTGCTACACTGCGCTGCCTCGGGGTGTTCATGCTCTCCATGCAGATAGGGACGGAGACTTTCACATGTACGCCTGCCCATAGCGGGTTCTAGTTACATGTTGGTTTGTAGAATTATTACTCCCAAGACGAAAGCCTTAAACAAAACAAAGAAGGCTATGTCATACAGATAGAAATTACAATCCAACCAGAACATATACTCATGAAACTTTATGCTCCTTACAACATCACTTCAAAATAAAACTGATTCAAAAGGGAAAAGGGAAAAATTAACAAACTCATGATCAAAGTAGATTTACTTACACCTCTATCAGAAGTGAACAGAATAAGGAAACCAACAATTCTTAAACTTTTTGGTCTCAGGACCCCGTTACACTCTTAAAAATTATGGAAGTTTTTAGATTAAAGAGCTTTTGGTTATATGGGTTTACACCTATCAATAATTGCCATGTTTAAAATTAAAACTGAGAAAAATTTTAATTTACTTAATTTGTTTTAAATGACAATAATAAACCCATTATATGCTAACATAAATTTTGTGAAAGCTAATTACATTTTACAAGACAAAAAAATTAGTGAGAAGAGTGGCTTTGCTTTACATTTTTGCAAATCTCTCTCATGTGTGGATTAACAGAAAACGGGTTCTCAAATCTCCTGCACTCGGTATGTTGTTAGATACTGTTTTGGTTGAACTATATGAAGAAAATTTGGCCTCACACAGAAACGTAGTTGGAAAGGAGAGTATTTTAATAGACTTTCAGATATTGTGGATATTCTTCTTTAATACTACCCAAAAAAATGGTATGTGGCAGTTCCTTAAATGTTGGTTGTAATCTAAAATCTGAATCCATATCAATGAACTTTTCTTACTGTTAACTTAAACTCTATCGGTCTATCTTGTACTTTGAGTGGATCTTGGAATTATGTACTATTTTAACCTTGTAGACTCCCTGAAAGGGACTTGGGGACCCTCAGAAGAATCCTGATTACACTCGGAGAACCACGGAAGTAGACAATAAAAAAGTAGAAAACTGGAGGAGTTGATAACATAATTAACCAAGTTTGATCTACAAGTTATCTATATAGGACTTTGCTCACAACAGACCATGAATAAACATTCTTTTAAACAAACTATACCCTCTATCAGCTGGGGGAAATGTGTGCCTGGACAGACTGCAGACACACCAAGACGGACAGATGCCCAGCACGCCAGGTGTGTCACCCAGCTGCCTAGGCCCCGGAACAGCTTCATCGGAAAGGGGCACCGCATTGCAGTGCAGCCTCCTGCCTTCTCGGCTGCACAGCCAGGGTAGTCAAATGGCGGGGCCTCAGAGGGAGAGCGTCCCTGAGTGACCGCCCCAGGGCACAGCCACCACCTGGCACCATTCTTGTGAAGAGCTTCCCTCCTGGATCTCATCATGGATTCCATGTCCGGAAGCCTCCAGGGTCCCCAAGGCAGAGTCCAGCCTGGCCCCTCTGGCCCTCAGAGCCCCTGGAGCTGCCAGGTACAGACTCACTCTGCTCTCGGACCGTCTGCAGTTCTTACAAAACCAGCAGCAGGAACAATCCTCCCTCAGTCCAGACCAGGCACTGGAACTCCAAGATGACCAGCTGCCCAAGGAGCCTGCACCTTGTACAACCACCTGGGAAGCTCCAACACCCCCCACCCCAGTGCCCAGGGCCACACTTCACCTGGAGTGCAGAAGCCTGGGCCAGCCCAAGGGGGGCTTAGGGGTGACCTGGAGTGCAGAGAGCAGAATCCCAAACCAGAGCCAGGGCCAAGGTGTCTGGGGGAGCTTTCAGAACACACCCCGAATTTAACCCTATAATTACACATCCATCCCTTGGAGATCTGACATGCCTAGGTGCCTATTATGTGCTGGCACTGTGTAGGGGGCTTTCTTTCCATGCATCCTTTTGTTTGCCTCTCACGTAACTGCTGAGGAGGTCCCAGCTTACAAACAAGGAAATGGAGAGTCCGAATGGCGAGGTACTTGCCCAAGGTCACTCAGTGAGTATGCACTTGGATTTGAACCTGACTTTTTCTGTCTGCAGTTCGGACTCTTGCACCATTACTACACTGTGTTGTCTGACCCTGCAGGGACCAGTCCTTCACCTCCTGAGGGTCATCCACAGAACCTATTCGTGCTGGGAATTGGGAAAGGGAACAGGGGGAGAAAATACCCTCAGCTTGTTCTACCTGGACCCAACCGAGTCATCCTGGTCATCAAAAGAGAGTCTGTGCCGCCCCGGGTTCCGTCTGCTGCATTTTCTTCTGCCTCCTCTGCCTTAAGTCTTCTTCTCACAACTAGATCAGAGGAAGCGGGGCCTATGTCTTTTGCATTTCTGTGTCCCTTTTGTGCATAGGTGCTCTGTGTGTGGTGAATATTAAGAGGAGTGGTCCTTTGTCTCTCTCAACTACTGCTGTGAGGACAGATCCATGGGAAGCCAGAAGGCTTGGGGAACATTCAGAAGGACTGGGAGGCTGGGGCCGGGCGGATAAGAGCAGGTGTGGAGGGGGGAAATGCCCCAGCACTCCCACCTCCCAGCGGAGGCAGCCCCCAGAGCACCCAAGCCCTCCTATAAGATACCTCCCAGCGTACCCTCCCCAGCAAAGGCTGGGAGGTCAAGTCCAAGCCATCCCACCCACAAGCCTCTCCTCCAAAACTCCCACAGGAAAGCCAATGAAAGGCAGGACCCAAACAGAAGGAAAAGACCCCAAACTTAGGCTCATGAGGTTGCCTCCTCTCTGATGCCTCCCTGGATAGCCTCCTCAATTCCTTCCTCCTCCCAGCTCCCGGAGGACGCACACTCTCCCACTGAGTGGTTAAGTCCTGGCCCTTGGAGTCCAACACCTGGACTCGAATCCAGGATCCTTCACCGATTAGCTATGTCACCAAGGACCAGTTACGTCCCCTCTCTGAGCCCTCCATAGCCATTAAGCCTTCAGACTCAGAATCCAGACCTCCGGTTATATCTGCGCTCTGACTCTGGTTCAAATCCCCACACCGATGCTTACTTAACCTCTCTTAACCCCCTTCAGTGCCTGTATCTGTAAAGTGGGATTATTAATAGTTCCTACCCACCTGAGAGGGTTACTGGGTAAATTAAATGAGGTAATGTATGCACTCTGCTTAGAACAGACTCGGCCCGCAGCGATCCCCAGTCAGTACTAGCTATCGTTAGAAATAGTAGCTGATAAGGGTGTGACGTGCTGTGCAGTGTCTTTGGCGCTTAGGAAGAACTCACTAAATAGTAGTTAAGGTATAGTCTTCGCCTCCATTAGGTTATGATGCTCCTGGAGGTGGGTTTTGGGTCACATCCACCTCTGACTCTCCAGCAGCCAGCCCGGTGCCCAGCACCAAGCAGGAGCTCAAAAAAATGCTGGCGGACCGAGAGGGCAAGAACTGACCGCCTGAACCTGGAGGGTGTGGGCAGGCAGGAGCCTCCTGCTGGGAGAAGGGAGATCGGAGGTGTCGGGGAAGAGAAAACAGAGTGGAGGGGGAAAGGCCCAGACGGAGAGATAAGCAAGCGGAGTGAGTGAGAAAAGGAACAGGAGAGGCTGAGTCAAAGAGCGATAAGGAGGAAGGAGGACGAGGGCGAGGGGCGAGGAAAATGTCGAGAGAAGTGAGGGAGCCTCAAGGAGAGGCGTGGGGCGAGACGGGTCTGTGGCCGGGGAGCTGGGGAGCCGGTGATCCGCAGAGGGGCGCAGGAGCGGGCTCTGGGCAGGAGGCGCGGGAGCCGGTGGGAGGGGCCGATGGGGCTCCACCCTGCCTCCCTGCCGCCTTGTGGTGGGGCCCGACGGCCTGAGATTGGCTGGGGCGCGCGTCGAGGCGCGGGTTGGAGCCCCAAGGTGGGAGGCGCCAGGATCCCACTTGGTGCGCCCGGGCGGGGAGTGAAAACGGCCACCCACTCCGACGACTCCGGCTGCCGCGCCTGGAGGGGAACGTGGTGGCGGGAGCACACGGGGCAGCTGGGGTCGCCGCGCACGGAGCGGCTGGGACCGTGCAATTATGCTTGCGGCGGCGGGTGGCGCGCGGGCCGTGGCGCTGTCGCTGCTTGCTGGGAGCGCTTCGCTGGTTGCCGGCGCGCGTGCAGGAGTACTACTACTACGTCTGGTAGATCGAGCCGCTGCACGGGCGCTCGTACTCCTAGCCTCCCGAAGTGCTCCGACATCTCCGTGGACCTGTCGCTCTGCTTACCGTGGGGCTACAAGCTCATGCGTTGCTCCAACCTGCTGGAGCATGAGAGCCTGGCTCGAGGTGAATCTTCTGGCGATCCGGCTGGTTGCCGCTGCTGGCTAACTGTTGTCTCTCGGACACTCAAGGCCTTCTTCTGCTCTGCTCTTCGCGCCCGTC